AACATTTACCCTTTAGTGTTTCAGGCTTGGTGTAATTTCCCTTCAAACAGTTCAACATTTACTTTGAATAATATGATAGTATACTGTACCTCAAATGGGTACTTGGGAATTGAGGTGACAGAAGATCCAATGGGTCTTCGATAACGGCATACAAATGGCAAAAACTGGATGTAACTGTAAAACTAGAGCAATATCCAGACAAGCACTTCTATTTAACTGGAGTATTCAAATGAAAGCATGTAATATCTTTAAAAATATTTTTATTGTCACATTTTCTTTCTAAATCAAAAAGTAAATATCTAATGGCATCGGGCACGGGCAGCGTTTTATCGAGATTGCATTTACTATTCATGAAAGGATATCCAATTCTGATTGTAGCCAGGCTTTCCTACAGAGCTAATTTTCTCTCTCATGTGTAGTTTTCTTTGAATATTGTTTACGAGAACCTTTTTGGTAATGATATATGAAAATAAGGGATTGGGAGGGGGTGGCTGAAATTGTTTACACCGCGTTCCAATTTTAAGTGTCAAGTTCCATTGCAATCACATGGCAGCTCTGGAACAAATACACAAATTAAAATCTCTTCTGGTAAGATCAAAGGTGCAAAATATTATTACTTGGAAAAGAACAAATTGTGAATGCAGATTTCCCCTGACATCTTTCTTTAAATTAGCAGTGTAACGAGAAGTGATTTTTGAAATCGCCAGCAGAACTTTAGAACAGAGGAGCGCTGTTATCAGCCAGGAATTAGAATTTTCACATCAAGTGATTCATGATTAGAGGTTCTTGTCATTCCATTCCAATATGGCATTAAAATTCCTCAGCTAGTTATAAATTATACAGTGCCAATTTTATATTTCTCAATTCAAGACGGAGCCATGAGTCAGTGATTATATGTGGTATATAATATTTACCCTTGATAACTGCTATTGGACTGAACTACATAGACTTGCATAATTATCCTGTATTAACTCTGATTGTGAAGGTGTGACAGACCCACTGTATTTAATTAATTTAGAATGAACAGATTTATTGGACTTACACCAGCAATGTTTGAGCCCTGCTGTTAATGTTAACTAACAAAATCAATAAAATTAATGTACGTGTTCTAAAAAAATTCATTTGTCAATTTTTTTTTTTAATACAAATATCACTAATTGATATTACCCAGCAATGTTCAAAAAACAAATTGAAGATCATAAGAATATAAAAACAACATATTGCTTTTATGTGTTAGCAACAGCACATCAGTGCATTTAAGTGTTTTTAGAATGTACGGCATATAATTAGGTCGGAGATCATATTCCAGTCTGTCTGCTCTGGTAATTAACAGTGTGAAATTTCCAAGTGGTCTGCTCTTGTCCTGGGCTGGTGCAGTTCTACCGCGGCTCCTCAGCCTCCTCCTAGCACAGCACTGTGTCACTCTCCCTTGACGCAACAGCCACTCGAAATATGCTGCACGTCACAGAGTGTCAGCTCTTTGCTGTTGTGCATAATTTGGGAAGGGGGAGGGGCCATATTGCTGGCAATGGAGCTGTGATCCATATGAACTGCTCCCTCACGTGCTCTATAGAGGTGCCAGGAGCCAAAATGTGATGTCACTCTGGCCCAGGTACAACTGCAGGGCATGAATGGAAGCTGTATAGGCAATGCTCACATGGTCTGGAGCTCCCTCAGAGCAGAGCAGCCCACACTGGACCACAGGTTGAGGATTCACTCCAGTTCTCCTAAAGAGAGGGAGAGGGGGGTAATGTGAGAGGGGGGGAGTTAGTGAGAAGGAGGGAGGGGGTGATGTGAGAAGGAGGGGGGTAATGTGAGAGTGAGGTGGGGAGGTGATGTGAGAGTGAGGTGGGGGGATGATGTGAGAAGGAGGGGGTGATGTGAGAAGGAGGGGTGGTGATGTGAGAAGGAGGGGGGTTGATGTTGATGTTGAGGGTAAGGACGGCAACGCTCTGATTGGCCCGTTTTCGCGAGACACATGGTCTGCAGCTCTGCGTCTGCGGTGGCTGGCCGGGTAGCCAGGAGGGGCCTCGCACCCGGCGGCATACCTGGTAAGCCGCCGGGCCCCCTACAAGTGTCAGGTCACTGACCTGACACAGTCTGGGCCTTAGGCGGCCGCCTAAACCGCCTAATTAGAGAGCCGCCTCTGTCCACAGGCTATAACAAGGCAAACATGTTAGTATTTCCACCAATACAGGTATGGGTTTATTTTATGTTAAGTATATTCTTGTACTTGAAATAAAAATAATAATTACAGAGTGCTTGAGTTTTGCCATTTTTTCGTTGTTTTTTTGCTGTTGTTGTTTTGTTTCTTATGTCTTCTGCTTAGGATGTCACGCTTGGTCATAGTCAATATCCCATCAATATAATAATTCAAGCATAGGCTTTTAGCTCAATAGAAAAGTCACCAAGGGAAGACAGAATCAATATTCTTGATTCTAGTTATACTCGTTACATACAATATAATGCCTGTGGTTTGAGCTCAGTGAAGCAGTTAACAAACCAAGGCCAAGGTAATTGTTAGACATTTTACACTAGAGGAAAGGTTATTGGGTTTTTAACAAAGATTAATCGTTAAAATAAACCACTAAACATATTTCTCTCTCATTAAAGCAAAGTATAAATGCTGAAGATGCTGAATCCAGGAATTGCAATATATTTGATCATTGCTTTTTGAACACTGAATTTACATCTAGAATATTGCCAAGTGTATGAGTGTGAGGGTCACAAACACCAGACCTTTTTTTAAATTTTTCATTATTCAAAGAAATAAAAGATTTTAGCGTTTAATTATTTCCATATTTACAAATGTTCATTAAAAAGGCTAGTTTGTGTTTATATAAAGGAATAGACGGACAAAACGACAGACAGATTGTGTCAAATGTAAATACTATTAATTATGTAATGTTAATTATGTAAACAAAAAAAGCTAAATTAAAAAAAAAACGCATTATACCGTTTCCAGTCAAGGATTCCCAACAGCCCTGCTTTTTTGGACACAGTCACAACTTTGAGGTCCTGTCCCACCACCCACTTTATTTCCCTGGTATCCTGTATCTGGGGACACTAAGGAACTGTCCGAGGCAGCATAGCACCAGCTCATTATTCAATGTATTTGTGCTGTGGAGAGGGCACTAGGACCGTGCAGGAAATACTTCAGCAGCACCCATTGCTGTTCCTGAAGGCTGGGAGCCGGCCAAGCAGCTTGTCAGTTGTCAAAAGTGTGAGTAGTGATGTTCACTCATGGACAAGCCCACCTCCCCCATCCTGAAAATCCAAGCAACATTGTTTGGGGGAGCAATAATAAGTTTAAGAAACACTTCAGAACCATAAAGCACGTCTATGTGAAGAGTGTGTCCTAAGTTCATTAGAAATGTATAGTTTTATAAATTACACTGGTTACACCCACTTGGATTTCAAGCAGACAACAGTTCCTGTTGCTTCCTGGTTTGGTTAGCTCAGTGGAGCTGAACTCAAGAGGAAACAAGTGCCCAGAGCACCTGCCTTGCAAATATTTCTCATTGAACTGCATTGGGAAGCCTGTGATTGGACAGCCACAGAAAGTCTGTGCAAGGTTACAAAGAGAGGGCTTGCAAAGGCAGCAGCCAAGAGAAGCAGTTTTTAGCTATATCCCCAATGAATACATGTATAATGCAGGCACGCAAGTTTTCATTTGGGATTTATCTACTAAACATTGCTTTTTATTTTTTTTTGCATTTGAGCAGAGGCATGTCTCTTTAAGCTTATCGGATATAGAGATATCAAAAGAAAAAAATTGGATTCCAAAGAGTAAAACAAACTGTACTGTATAAATTTAAAAGAACACTATAGACACAAAAACAACTTTAGCATATTGAAGCAGTTTTGGTGTATAGACCATGTCGCTGCAGTCTTATTGCTCAGTTCTCTGCTATTTAGGAGTTTAATCATTTTGTTTATACAGCCCTAGTCAGCACTCTCTGCATGTAACTTATATAGCCTTGCAAAACACTTCCTGAAAAGCAAACTAGATATTCTAGGTTCCTTTACTAGTCAGTCTGTTTAATTTAGAATGTCTTATCTCCTGCTCTTATTAGCCTTCTATGAGACTCCTGTGTGTGATTAAAGTTCAATTTACATAGCAGGAGATGAAAACTTCTAAAACAACTTAATATCTGATTGACAATTAAACATTTTTTTCGTGCAGGCTGTATCAGTCAGAACCAGGAGAGGTTCTGCATAAACAGATAGAAAGGGAATTAACTCCTAAATGGCAGGCAATTGAGCAGTATGACTGCAGGGGCATGATCTATACACCAAAACTGCTTTATTAAAGGGAAAGTTGTATTCCTAGCACCATTGCACCCTATAATGCCTCACATCGCTTGTAACCCCCCCACCCCCCACCACCATAGTGATGAAAGGGTTAAAGATCCATTTTTCACTTACCTGAATGAGTTTTTAGTGATGCTGGATATCCTCATGCCGAGCATGAGGATGTCCGGTGTCAAGCGACCAGAAATGCCTCTAGTGGATTCCTAGATGAGGAGTTTACCCTGCAATGTAATTATTGCAGTTTATCAATAGCTGCAATAATTACTATTGCAGGGTTAAACTGACAGGGGCACTGTACCCAGATCACTTCAATGAGCTAAAGTGGTCTGGTGCAATAGTGTCCCTTTAACACTGTGTGATTTACATAAGATAAAAACCAAAGAAAAAAGTTACCTGCGCTCTCTCCTTAATCCCTATGTATATTTAAACAAATGGAGGTCATTTAGTTACTCCAATGGCCACTGGAGGGAATGCCCGCCTGCCAACGTCAAGGCAGACCCCCCTAGATGGGTCCTACACTGACCTTTCACCTTGCTTCCTTGAGCTTCTGTCAAAAATATCTCTTATGAGACAGAAAGGGGTATTTTTTATATATACACCCCTATATACTTATTAACCATTAATAGGGAACACATGGGATCGGCGGCAGCATTGTAACCTAGCTGTGTGATACAAAAAGTGAATACAAATACAAAAAGAAAAGTCCTGCGCTCACTCCCATCACTCCTGGGCGGCAGCAATGCCTACAGTACACATCATTGCTGCCGCCCAGAAGTGATGGGAGTGAGCGCAGGACTTTTATTTTTGTATTTGGATTTACATAAGACTAGATATTAATGATAGATCACTATTCTGTACAAGTACTCTTTTGTTTCCAAAATGAGCATCAAATGGAAGGAAAATAATACATTGTGTTTTTACTCCTCGTAAAAACCCTATTCAATATTTAACACTGTCTGCCTTCCTCTGTTTGTTGTCTCTTTTTCTGTGTGTTTGAAAGCACTCACAATCAGCCTAAAAAATATGCATTTATCTGGATGCTAATTCCTAATTAAGCCAAACAACAATACACATTAAAGGAACATTATAGTCACCTAAATTACTTTAGCTATATAAAGCAGTTTTAGTGTATAGATCATTCCCCTGCAATTTCACTGCTCAATTCACTGCCATTTAGGAGTTAAATCACTTTGTTTCTGTTTATGCAGCCCTAGCCACACCTCCTCTTAATAATATTTTAATAATATTTTCATCTACATATCAATCTCTATAAATGTTATGCTTATTTGTTTGGTTGTGTATTTTATTTATTACTGGCATTTATAAAGTGACAACATATTCCACAGCGCTGTACAATTGGGATCCTGCTATTGCTAAAGGAGTATGTGTCATATATGTGTGGCACGTTTATAAAATAGCTATGATGAGATATTGATTGGACACCTTGACGCAACATCAGTCCTTAGGTCTTATTATGATTGAATGTTCATTGTTGATAGAACTCTAACCCCTTAAGGACCAAATGTTCCCCTCTACCATCACCATAATCTGTTGTCTACGATTTTATACTTGCCTGCAATGTCCTGTTTATTTAACTTTGAAAGTTTTGTAAACCAGCAGTCATTCATTCAGTAATTCATTTAATTTTAGAAAAGGTTCCTTAAAATATAGTTATAGAACAAATATTGTGCCCCAGAATAACTCTGGCAGCAAGAAGCGTTCTTGCGGCACATTGGTTACAGCCTTCCCCGCCACAGATAGGAGAGGTTAGAGCAAAGGTGGAAGACAATAACCTAATGGACCAACTGATGGCAACTGTACACAACACCCTCCCCTCGTTCTATAAAGTATGGGAATTATGGCATGAGTATATAGACAAACTTTAATTAGACATTGATATATGAGGAAGAGCCTCTTGGGAGTCGTGTGGGGGGCCCTGCGATCTCTTAAAATGCACCATATAGGTACACCATATCTGGGGATCTACACATATGGGGCGCCATCAGATATAGGAGCTCAGGAGAAAGGAAGGACATTAGGTGTGTGGTGGAGGTGGGAGCTGGGAGGTAGCTTGCCCCCTGACCCAATAAACAGAATCCCGAACCCCATGCCCGGCAAGCAGATAAAGAGGGGAAGGGAAGCTCTTTTGAGGTACTCCCAGGTAACCTGAACGGTCACCCTACTCCCATGTAACCTGAACGGTCACCCTAACTATGGCAGATAGCTCTCACATAGGGAACATCACTGGTATTTCTTCATCCCCAATAATTTCCTTCCCCTTCTCGTTCTATCTACATATTTGCTTTTTCGTTTCTTGGTTGGGCCAGTACCTGTAGTCCCACCCGCTATGACCCACGGCGGGGATGTCTCTACCGATTAGTAATTTTCATATTCTAAATATATACTTGACAACAGCAAGAGGGTGGGACAGGGCTGGTTAACTGGTTACAACCACTATTATACTATCTTTCTATATGTTTATAAAACCCTTGTCGTCAGATATGCAACTGTTACCATCGCTTATCAGTGACGTTGAGGTGATGCAGCGGCTATCAATGGACTAATATGCATCACGCTTTGTTGGATAGTCGGATGGTATGGCCTTGTATGTTATGCTCTGTACCTTTTGTCTTGCATTTTATGTGACGGCAACTTGAAATAATAATAATAATTAAAAAAAAATATATATATATAGTTATGACGGCATATACCATATTTGGTTTTGAAAGATTAAATAGTCTATTCTTCCAAGAATGTATCCCATAGGGCAGCAAGCAGTTTCAAAGGAATAAGCCACAGGAACAGTATTGCAACAGCAGTATTTATATCTCTGATCAAACCGTTTTTATCTAGAGAAATGCAGACACATAGCAAAAACAAAAGGCTCAAGTTTATTTGGTTTAGCAAAAAAGTGGATAATCCAGCAGAGATATTTCAAGTCGGCTTTGCAAGAATTTTGGAGAATCAAAGCATGTGAGAAAGCTTGCTTGCGAAGGATACAAATTTATTTACATTCACAAAACACACAAGTGCAACTGATGACCAAGGCCCTGATATAGTGAAAGGTTAATTTTGAGCAACTCAAAATGAATAAATTACTCAAAAAGGTCCTTGTGATATTGACACATCTACTTAATACGATGGTGGTCCTTGTGAAATTCCTGTTTCTTTTCTTTTTAGAGAGGGGTACACTGGGTGAAGATAAAGAGGTACTCGGAGATGCAAATTTGATAGCTGTAAAAATGCAACCTAGTGACGTGTGAGTGATGCTCGATACAGAGTCTACAGGAGAGCTGATGAGACAAAAATAAATGCTACTGCAAAATCTGAGGTTATGCACTTGTGTATAACAACAAAGAGTGAGAATGTGGACATAGAGTCAGAAGGATGGATGGCCTCAAATGAATTGTAGGAACACGTTCTATTTGTTACTTCTTCTCAATTGATCTGTGAAACAAATGGAGTGAAAATGCAACGATCAGTGTACTGCAAAATATATACAGAATATTTATTACAATGATTTGCCAATTTCAAGTTTGAACACAAATCCTGCTACTGTTGTTATGCAGGGACAAAGGTTTAAAAATAATATCAGGAAGTATTACTTTACTGAGAGGGTAGTGGATGCATGGAATAGCCTTCCAGCTGAAGTGGTAGAGGTTAACACAGTAAAGGAGTTTAAGCATGCGTGGGATAGGCATAAGGCTATCCTAACTATAAGATAAGACTAGGGACTAATGAAAGTATTTAGAAAATTGGGCAGACTAGATTGCCCGAATGGTTCTAATCTGCCGTCACATTCTATGTTTCTATGTAACCATGGCTAACCATACATTCAACTGAAAATATGTACCATACCCTTGATAGACAGACAGGCAGGCAGACAGACAAACAGATAGGTATATAGACAGACAGACAAACAGATAGATAAATAGTTTGATAGTTTGATATGTATTCTGCCTAGTTCAGTTTTAGGATAAAATTGATAAATTTTCTGCAGTTCCAGCAAAGTGTAGTAATTGAAAACGAAATTGAAAAATATTGCCGAGTCGGAGAATTTTTCCAGATCAGCTTTTTCCGCCTAAATGTTGCAATTTTATCCCAGTTTGGTGTTAAGCGAATAGATTATTGCCTGCAGTACCTTTTTTTTTTTTTTAGTTTGTTTTCCATTTTGCATTACAAATTATAATTACAAAAACACTTAAATTCACCACCACTCTTTATCTGGACACAAGACATCTAATAAAGATGTTTTTTTATGACACTGCTCTGCCCAGTTGCATACCCCGTTCAGAAATTACATCACTTGAATAATTAAAAAAAATAATATGCATCTACGATATCATTTTTAAATATTATATCAAATATTACTATACCAAATATATAATATATAAATTTAGATATTTTTTCACTGCAACTAATTTTTTTCCATTGCTCACTTCTCACTTGATTTATGAATAAAATAAACATTTAGAGGCTATCCACTAAACATCAATCATCTTTTTTCCATCAATAATATTTTTTTTGGCACGGATGGAATTCCAAATCACAAAACAAATGAAAAGTTTAGTCCATTGTCCGTATAATTTGTTTTGTGATTTGCCCATAAAGCGTTTTCAGAAATTCAGAAGAATCACAAACCGCAAAAAATTCAGACAAATCACAATTTATTTGAAACCGAATGCAAAGTCTAGAAACCAACATCTTGAGGCAATCGATTCCTCAAATGTAAAGGCTTCACAAGCAAATAGAGAGGAGATGAGACAACCAATTAAACAATAATGTGAAGGTCAAAAATTGCATAGAACAAATATGAATCTCTTCATTTGGTCATGAAATGCAGAAAGCAGAAGAAATTGTTCAAGGAAAGCCTAAACTATTGTTCAATGGCTGCATGAATTAAGACACAATTTTTATTCATTGCAAAGGAAGGATGCCTCAGGTAGAGTTGCTTAGTGCAAATAAATATTTTAATTGAAGAGCCAAATGGGACGACTTGATATAACAATTTGGCTATCACAGAGCTCCATCTGCTCCATCCTGCTTCCTTTTTACATTGTACTGCAGTGAAGAGGACATCTGTAGTTCTCTAGGTTTGGAACTTCTGAATTAATGCATATTATGATTCCCATGTTCAGTCTTTCCCCTCCACACACAAATTGTGCAACTTGACTAGTGTTTATGATTTTCATGGTATTTCTCAGAGGATTGCCATGATGATAAATATAGATATACCATAAGGTTTATGGCCCTAATCCTTTAATGTGTACAGCAGTTTTATAAGCCATTAGTAACCCATGTAATGAATAGTATCCATGTAGCCAATCCCAACAGAGACCTCTAGTTTCTTAATTGTCTTGCGCTATCTGCTTTTTTGTCCTGGTTGACAAAACTGTGACCTCTTTGTCCTTTGTCTTGATGTCCGTGTTCTGGCATAGTCTAATGTTTTAAATGACCTTTCTTTGCATTCTCTCACTCTTCTATGCCAACACATAGTCAGCTGCTGTACCAGCCTGCTTAGCATTACCTCCAATGTCTGTTCTGAGTCTTCGATTCATGATGTATACCCTCTCCCTAGGGCAATTTAACTATTTAACCTAAATAGTGTTAAGCATGCTACATATAGTTATTCTTCATTATTACCTTTACTTGCATATCTGTAAACTCAAATACTTGATATTTTTCAAAAAATTGTTGCTCGTAAACAAAAACCTTTCTGCATGCAGTAGTCCTGACCTTGGGTGATTACTGAAACTCATTCCTTTTCCATTAATTGATCCAATTTCTGTACTTTTTTGTCCATATTCAACCT